GGAGAGATTTTCACTATAGGGCGCGTGCGCTCGCCAGACAGACAGAGAGAGACATAGAGACAGAAAGCGAGAAATCCCCCAGGGGGGATGGTCATGCCGCAATCCCTTCTCCTCCATTCTCCTCTTGGGATCCTGGGCACGCACGCACACGTGCCCGGCGTGAACTTTAAGCCACTGGGACCGGGACGCGAACCGCGGTTGACTACGTGGGAGTCCAGCGACATAGCCATTACGCTAACTGCTGGTTCCCTCCTCTCAGAATTTTGAGTACATATGCCTGGCATGTTTTTCAGGCCTCCAGGTCCAAGACTCATAACTGCATAGTAGGCCAAGTGGGATCTCATAGCTTTTTTTTTTTTGAGAGGTTTTTGCTATAGAGCGTGTGTGCTTCCCGAAAGACAGAGAGAGACAGAGAGAAATCACCCTCCCAGGGGGAATGGCCATGCTGCAATCCCTTCTCCTCCACTCTCCTCTCAGGATCTCGGGCACGCATGCACAAGCGCCTGGCGTGAGTTTAAGTCACTGGTTCTGGGACTCGAACTGCAGTCAACTACATGGGAGTCCAGTAACATAGCCATTACACCAACTGCTGGTCCCAAGACCTAACAGAAAAAAAACCCCAAAACACTTTTTTTTTTTTTGGAGAGGTTTTCACTATAGGACGCGTGCACTTGCCAGACAGACAGAGAGAGACAGAGAGACAAAAAGCGAGAAATCACTCCCCAGGGGGTATGGTCACACCGCAATCCCTTCTCCTCCATTCTCCTCTCGGGTCTTGGGCACGCACGCACACGCGCCCGGCATGAGTTCTAAGCCACCGGGTCCGGGATGTGAACCGCGGTCGACTACATGGGAGTCCAGCGATACAACCATTACGCTAACTGCTTGTTTCCCCACAACACTTTTTAAAAGATATATAAAGATACTTTATGGGGTCAGGTGGTGGTGTAGTGGTTAAGGCAGTTGGATCTCACATGGCTCCCTGTGCAGTTTGAGTCCCAGACCCAGCACCTTGAGAAACATGCTGGGTATATATAGGTGTGTGTGTGTGTCTAAAATTCCTAGATGGAAGGAAAAATGAAGAAGGGATTGTGGCAAAGACCATTCTCCATATGGGGTTCTTTTTCACTTTTCCTCTCTCTTTGTCTTTTCCCTCCAGTAAGTACAGGTGCCCTCTGGCAAAAAAAAAATTTTTAAATAAAAGTTTTTAATTAAAAAAATAATTTATATGGCACAAAAATGTTTTAATCAACCAAGCTTACTGTCAGCCTTTTAAGTCTCATCATTGGGCCAGCAGGTGGTGGGGAGGTTAAGAAGGCTGGATCCCACATGGCTGGACTCAGTGGCTTGAGAAACACATTGGGCACATGTGGATGCATATCCAAGATCTGGAGAGAACGGAGGAGAAGGGATTGTGGTGGGCCAGCAGTTGGCATGGTGGTTAAGGTGCTGGACTCCGATGTGGTGAACTAGAGTTCGAGTTCCTGTTCTGGCGGCTTGAAAATCACACTGGGCATGTGTGTGTGTGTGCCCAAAATTCCAGGAGGGAAATGGAGGAGAAGGAATTATGATGTGGCGTTTCCTCTTGGGGGTGGGGGGGTGACTTCTCACTTTCCCTTTCATTGTTTCTCTCCAGCGAGTGCACGTACTCTATATCAAAAACCTTAAAAAAGAAAATCATTATCAAACAATTTCAATAATATTCCAATTATTTCCCCCCCCCTTTTTTTTTTAACGCCTAGCACTAACAAAATATAGCAGGTTATAGGTTTCCCATATTTATTCCTAAAATTAAGGAAGACCCGAACAAGTATTCTGGCTTTTCACAGGAAGAGTAAGAGGGTATTACCTGTTTATTAAACTCCGTGGCAGCTTTTTCCGACTCAAACATGATGGACCAGTTTTGTCTCTGGTCATCATAAAAGGTGCTATAGTTATTGGGCCGAACCTGAGAAAAAAAAAAAATAGTGAGCTAAATCAGCCCCTGGTGGCACAAAGGATAAACTGACTACCTAAACTCACAGAAAAAGGCCTTGACTGGGTGAACCCCAAGAGAGGTATCAGTGGCCTTTTTACTTTCCTCCCACCCTATACCAACCACACCTTAGTCCACATTTCCAGAAGGCAGCTGAGGGGCCTTTCTGAAAGGCTCTGTTAGATACTCTGATCCCAGGGCTGAAGGAGTGGCTCTACTTTATACCATGTGTGTTCAGATCAATCTCTCCTGTAAATTTATCCCAAAGGAGGCAATGATTCCAAAGGGGGGAGGCTTACCATTAGCTCGAAGTTCAGGTGAATCCTAGCAACAGTGACTTGCTGTTGTTGACTGATATAAAGAAGAATCCTATACTGTACTCAAAGGTGGGCAAGAAAACAGAAAAAAAAGAGAACCAAAGTTAAAAGGCAACACAAAATCAGCAGTAAGACATCCAAAATGGTGCTTCATACAACTATAAAACTCAAATTGTTAATCCTTTAGCTAGATTTTAAATGATACCTTCTCTTAAATTATATCCATTTTTATTCCCTTTCATTTTGGTCTTACTCTTTACCTGTGAGTGGTAATGGCTTTATTTTGTTGGTGCTTGCATTCATATGAGGACTGACCAACAGATAGTGATGGCTTCTTAAAATAAAGTACAAAATTTTTAAAGAATTATTTTAACTTTACTTATTTATTTATTTAAATTTGACCAGAGAGGGATAGAGTGTGAGAAAGAGAGAGAGAGAGAGCAGGAAAAGTGAGAAAGCGAGCCGCCAGATCCAGGACTAGAGCCGCAGTCAGCCATGTGAAAGTCCAGCGCCCTTAACCACCAAGCCACCTGCCGGCCCTGAAAATATAACTTTTTTTTTAAATTGAGGAAAACACAATCTTAAATGTACCTTCAATAGGGCCAGTAGGTGGCATGGTAGCTAAGAAACTAGATCCCATATAGCTGACACTGTAGTTCAAATCCTGGACTCATTTGCTTGAGAACCTCGCCAAGTGCATGTGCATGTGTGGCCAAAATCCAAGAGGAGAATGAAGGAGAAGGGACTGTGGCATGGCCATCCACCCCGGGGGATGATTTCTACTTTCCCTCTCTTTCTCGCTCTCTGTCTCACTGGAGAGTTCATGCACCCTATAACAAAAACGAAAAAAAGTACCTTCACATATATGCATATGTGACCACCAACCAGATTAAAAAAAGAAAAAAAGAGCATTTCCAGCACTCCAACCCTGTAATGCCCTTTCCTAGCCAATAATCCTTACCCAGAAGTAACTACTATCCTCTGTCATGGATTGATTTTGCTATTCTTTTTTAATTTTGCTATAGTGCATGTGCACTTGCCAGAGAAACAGAGACGGAAAGCAAAAAATCACCCCCCAGGGGAATGGCCATGCCACAATCCCTTCTCCTCCACTCTCCTCTCAGGATTCTGGGCACATATGTACATATGCCTGGCATGTTTCTCAAGCCACCAGGTCCAGGACTCAAACTGCAGTCAGTCATGTGGGATCCAGCCGGCTTAATCACAACACTAAATGGCCCAATTTTGCCTTCATTTATGAAGAGTATTTTACTGAGATAGAACTGTGGATAGGGAGTTTAGCCTAGTGGTTACGGAAGCCAGCCCTTTAGCCTGGTGGTTATGGGAGCCCACATGGCTAACCATGGTTTAAATCCTGGTCTCAGTGGTTTGAAAAGCAGAATGGAAAAATGAAGGAGAAAGGATTATGGCATGACCATGCCTCATTAGGGGGTGCTTTATCCTTCTCTTTCCATCTCTCTGGTGAGTATGTGCACTCGCTGGCAATTAAATAAATAAAAGACACAGTGCTCTAAGTAGTACACTAAGTATTATTTATTAACATCTCAACAAAGAGATATCCTTGATAAATGATTTAATCTAAAACTCTAAATTCTTAAGTTAGAACCATATCACATAGGTCAAATTTAAAAATCTTTTTTCTTCCAGTTGCCAGAGGGTGTATGTGCTTGCAAGAGAGAGTCAGAGAGACATAGAAATAAAGAGGGATAAAGTGCCCATTGGGCATGGTTACTCTGCAATCCCTTCTCTACCACTTCTCCATCTTATTGAGATATGGGGCATGTAAACACACATGCTCAGTGTAGTTTTCAAGTCTTGGGTTGGGATTCACGTGAGATCATGTGGTCAATTTGTCATGTGGGATCTGGCACCCTTAAACACTAGGCTATAGGGCCAGCCTCAAATTTAAAGTTTTTGAGTCATTGAATTTGTTTTGCTTTAAGCAAAACGCAATTATTTATCACATTTATAATATTACAAAATCACACTCAGTACAAGCAATCATTTTAATCCCCTGACAAATAAGACATGAGTCAAGTCCAAATACAAAATATTCTAACTCACTGGTATTATAACACTTGAAAATACACAAAATATGGGGGCATTCTCACCTCTTTGGCTATGTGGTTCCCTAAGACTGCAGCACCAAATTTGCCCTGTTTTTGATATTGACCATTAATGCTACAAAAACAAACAAAAAAAAGGTATTAATACACCCAGTTCTGCAGAACCACCTTTCTTTTCTGCTATATAGAAGTGGGGAAATACTGTCATTGACTCTCTAAAGAAGGACAGCGATAAGTAGTTTCTCAGCTACTTACTATCGATAGGCATGCACTGCTGTTGCAATCAGTACTGTGGAAGTGCCTGGGGCGGTTGGTGCTGTTTTCGGTGTTGCCTGATTTCCTAAAGATGAAGAAAACAAAGCTGTCATTTACTTCTTGCTTGGAAATAAGTTTTAACCATTAAAGAGATCTTTTTTGGGACCTGCGGATGGTGTAGAGGATATGTCACCAGACTCCCCCGTGGCTGACAACGGTTCAAGTTGACAACGGTTCAAGTTCCAGACCCAGTGGCTTCAAACTTACACTGGGTGTGTGTATGTAAGTGCCCAAGATCCCGAGAGGAGAATGGAAGAGAAGGGAATGTGGCATTGCCATAGCCCCTGGGGGGTGATTTCTCACTTTCCTTCTCACTGTTTCTGTCTCTCTTTTTCTGGAAAGCACATGTACCCTAAGGCAGAATCCTCTACAAACAAACAAAAAATAAATAAAGCAAACGCTTTAAAAAAATTAATTTGGGCCAACTAGTTGCATGGTGGTTAAGGCTAATGGATCCTACATGGCCAAGTGTGCGGTTTGAGTCCTGGATCCAGTAGCTTGGAAAACACATCGGAAACGTGTGTATGGTGTGTACTCAAAAATCCTGAAAGGTGGGACCAGTATGGTGTGTACTCAAAAATCCTGAAAGTGGGATCAGTACTTAGTGTAATGGCTATGTTGCTGGACTCCCACGTGGTCAACCGCAGTTTGCGTCCCAGACCAAGTGGCTTAAACTCACTTTTTTTTTAAACTTGTTATAGGCACTCACCAGAGAGAGACACATGGGCCGGGGAGAGAGAAAGCGAGAAAACCCAATCTGGGACTCAAACCAGTCAGCCACCTGTCTGTCTGGTGAGTCCACACACCCTATAGCAAAAACTTCTCCAAAAAAATTTTTTTTTTAAATCCTGAAAGGAGGAATGGAGGAGAAGAGACTGTGGCATGAGCACAGCACATTGCAGAAAGTGGGGGAGCACACCTTCCACACTCATATACTCACACACACACTCACATATATACATACATGGACATATAGTCCTTGTGTTGGATTGTCTTTGCTATCTTCCATATCTGTCACCTTCTCTTAAATCCTTCTCTCTCTTTTATTTATTTTTAAAATGTCCTCCTTTTAATCTCCTGCTTCTCTTAAGGCAAAACTTACTGTGTTTATTCATTCCTGTGTTCCTTCTAGTCTAGTCTTCATTTCTGAAGGGGCTTTTATTGCAGTTTTTAATCTTGCTTCAGCCTTGTCACTTACTTCTTCTTATTTTCTAATTCTTATTTATGTGCTCATTTCTGGTCTTACGTTATTTTCTTAATGTTACTTTGAAATAGCAGGTCATAGTTTTGATCTAATCAATAAGAAAGTCTCACAGAAAAGAACTCCCATCATCTATAATGATGTTATTCTGGCTTCTTATTCTCTTTATTTTTATAATACCTTTGTGTAAGGTTTGACTTTGATAGTTCTCTGTCATTATTTTTAAGTGAAATTGGTTTTTCTGAACTTTTAGAAGACGGTTCAGAGTGGTTTCTCCAGCTTCAAAGAGTTCTCTCCTCTAATAGTTTTGTATAGAGGGGCAAAATATTGACTTTTTTTTTTTAAACTTGTTATAGGCACTCACCAGAGAGAGACACATGGGCCGGGGAGAGAGAAAGCGAGAAAGCCCAATCTGGGACTCAAACCAGTCAGCCACGTGGGATTCCAGCACTTTAACCACCACATCACCTGCTGGCCCAATCTTAAATGCTTTTGTAATTTACCTGTTGCTGTTGTCCCCTGTCCCTTCTTAGGCTGCTTCGGGGCTGTGTACTGGAAGAATTCGTTTCCATGGCCAGCAGCTGCTTGATCCAATCCAAAAAGAGAAGCCAATCTGGCACTGTTCGTAGAAATGAAAATGAGGTTTCATTTGACATAATCCCAAACCTGGAATCGTTATAAAAGCCGCTCGCCTCCAGCTGGAACAAACACCTACTTGACTGTGTATCCAACCATTCGGCAGTGTAAGAAACAACTAAATGTCTTCGAAATCAAGATCGTGTTTCTGATCTGAATATCACCAGCTGACCCTGCCTAGCCACAGGACTTAAGTCAAGGCATTTCCTCTTTTTGGACCTTAATTTCTCCATCTGTAAATGGAAGTGATTAGCGCAGAGGCTCCCTAGAGTTTCTGCAACATACACATTCTTGCTTTTAAAAAGTCACAGTTTCTAGTTATCCCTACTCATTAGTCCCTTTCCTGCTTTTTATTAGTTTATGAAATTGAAGTGAAAATATACTATAAACTGACTCATCAAACATGGCCCCTTCTATTATTTCATCTAATACGCAGGGCTATTCTTTTATCATCCCTTGTAAGGAATCTTAGTCCCCCTCCTTTCTACTGGAACCGGTCTTGGGAAGGTTACCAACAACCTTTGTTACTAAATAAACTTTATCAGTCCTTATCTCCTTTGAGGCTAAAAATGTGTACTTGAAAGGATTAGGAAGTTTAAATGAGATTGCAAATGTAATACCTGACAGAGGGCAGTACTGGCCTAAATAAGACATCAAGGAATGTTATGGAATTTAGAAGAAACTAAGATTTCTCCTTTCAGGCAAGACCATCTGAACAGATTTCCTGAAGGAATTACATTCCGGGAGAACTGGGCAATAGTGAAAAATTTACAAAGCTTAGCTCTAGGTTAAGATACAAAGCTTCTGTATAAATAATTAACAGGAAAAGAATGTCCTCAGTTAATTTCAGTAAGCCATGGCTATTGCATTTGCTATTTTGGTTTTATAGGCATTTTCTTTTTCATAGGAAAGACAACAATGTCATAGGTGAACTGTATTTCCATAGATGGCACAAAGGCTAGCCAATCGATGACTGCAAAATCAATCCAAAAGCCAGGTCAACCTAGTTATCTTTCAGGTGAATTCCATTTTCTATCAGCACTTTAAAACAGACTCCATACGGATTTTAGGAGAGAAGTTTCTTGTACATTATTATAGAATCATGGCAGGTCTGTGCAACCTGCTTGCCTCATTTTCAAATATAGGCTCTGACTTTCCAGCTGTGTGACCTTGGAAAACTCAGCTCTTGGAGCCTTTCTCGTTTATAAATACAGTAATGAAGAAAACACAAATTTATCTATCATATGAATTAGAAACCCATGAATACATCCTATTGCCCCCAAATACCAACACAGATACCTCTGTAATGGAGAAAGCATACTTGACATGCACAAACTCACCTGCAACTACAGAATTGGGAAAGGTCTCAAGGATCACCACAGACAAGGAGTGGCAGATGGCATAATGGTTACGTCACTGGACTCCCACATAGTTGACCTTGGTTCAAGTCCTGGACCTGGTGGCTTAAAACTCACGCTGGGTGCATGTGCGTGCATGCCCAAAATCCCAAGAGAAGAATGGATAAAGGACTGTGGTATGGCCATCCCTTCTGGGGGTGATTTCTCACTTTCTGTCTGTCTCTCTCTCTGTGTTTCTCCAATGAGCCCATGTACCGTATAGCAAAATAAAGCAAAAATCTCTCTGGGGGGTTAAAAAACACAAAGGGCAAACCCCACTTTTTAATAGACTGGGGCATGTAGAAATAAGAATAGGAACTGACTTGTCCAAAGTGACACACCCAACTGCTGGCAGACTCAACATTAGAATCTAGGCTTTTTCATATCTTTTTTACAAAACTTAAAATGCTAATGATCAGTTCTGGATTTATGTTTTTTCCATCTCTATGTCAGTAATTTATTATTATTATGCTAATAAGATTTGCCTAGACATACCTCTTATATACTCTAAAACAAGCATATAAGGTTAACAATTATAGGAGGACACTGTTTTGGACTAAGCTCCAGACTAAATGCCAACAGACCAGACCAGAAATCAAAATGGAGTCACTCTGGTCAAAGCTAAGGTGTTATCTGATCTTTGGAGAAATAGGGAGGGCGTTAACAGCCTGGTTTCCCAAACAAGTCAGTTTTTTTGCCTAAGAATTACTGGGTCATCGGGAAAGTTATGACACATTTTTGCCCCTAAGAATTATTGGGTCATTGGGAAAGTTATGACACTTTTTTGCATAGAAAAAGAAAAGAAGATAGGTCATGACTTACCGACAACCTAATATTTTATTTAATTCTGTTCATTATCATTATTACTTTTTGAGAATTCATAAGAGAGAGACAGAGCGAAATAGAAAAAGGGGAAGTGAGAAAGCAAGCTGCCAGGTCTGGGACTCAAAATGTGGTTGCCATGTGGGGTGGCTATGGGGGAGTCCAGCACCCTAACCACCAAGTCACCTGCTGGCCCCCAACAAGCCAGTTTTGATTGGTATATTAATGAACTTCCCTCAGCTTTTCTTTCTTTCTCTTTTTTAAGATTTATTTATTTATTAATCTATTTATTTGTTGTGATCTTCAAGGTGCTAGGTTGGGGACTCAAACCGTAGTTGGTAATGTGGGGATCCAGGGCCTTAACAACCATGCCACCTGCTGGTCCTGTTCCCTCAGGTATAAATCCTCACAAGAAAGAAGCAAAGATATCATCAATTCTTATACGAAAGTAAAAGATTTAACTACTTCGTTAACTTCCTATTGTTCTGTGTCCCAGTAAAGATAAGGAAAGTAACTAAAATGACCAATCCACTTTTTTTTTTTTCCCTAAAGAAAGATTTTTGCTACAGGGCATATACACTCACCAGAGAAACAGAGAGACAGAAAGTGAGAAATCACCCCCGAGGGGTGATGGCCACACTGCAATCCCTTCTCCTCCATTCTCTCCATCCTCCTCTCAGGACTTTGGGCACACACGTACACACATACAGCATGAGTGTCGAGCCTGAGTCTGGGACTCAAAACATGGTTGGCCACATGGGAGTCCAGTGACGTAACCATTACATCATCTGCTGGTCCCACTGATCAATTTTTGTACTTTGTTTATGTTTTCTTAATCCTTTCTGTTTATAAAACAAGTTCTTTTGTTTACTTCCTTTTCCCAGAATCACAAGTAAAGCCAATTAAGATCTTTAAAAAAAACTATTATAGTTTTACTTTCTGATAATACATAACTGATTCCTTAAAAATTTTGTAATTATGACACCAGCAGATGGCGTAATGGGTGTGTCACTGAACTCCCATGTAGTAGACTGCGGTTTGAGTGCCGGACCTGGTCTTTAAAATCATGCTGGGCACGTGTCTGTGTGCCCAAAATCCTGAGGGGAGAATGTTGGTGATGGGAGTGCAGACCGGCCATCCCACTGAGGGCTGATTTCTTGCTTTCTGTCTCTCTCTCTGTGTCTCTCTAGTGAGTGCATGTGCCCTATAACAAAAATCTGCCTTAATTGTTCTTAAATTTTGAAATTATGATGATTAAATATTCTCTATTTCATGAGAGAAAAGAGAGCAGAGCTAGCACAGAGAGAGAGGGAGAAGAGATGAGAGGGAGAGTAAAAGAGGTATCTTTTGCAATGGTCTTGTCATTGTGCCTCGCTATTCTAGCCTCTGAGCAAGGATTACAGGCAAGAGCAACCTACCATGTCTGCCAATTTTAGGTTGGTTCAGGAACCAAACCTGGACATCCCATTCGGACTCTGCCTTGCAGAGGCACTGTATTACTTATGCCACTGCAGCTGGATCTGAATTATTCTACTACTAAAACGGAAGTTTCCTGGGGATAGAAACCATGCCTATTCCTGTCTGTGTTAGCTGAAGTCAGGGACATGCGGTGGGCAGACATTCACATATTTCTTCATTTCAGAGTCACAGTGTGGGAGAGAAAGGGCTAAGACAAGAAAACACAACAAAACACAAGCCTTCTGATCACTGCTTCTAGGATAACTAAGGACTTTAAGCAGCCCAGAAACTTGGAAAGCAGGTTAGCAGGTATCTAAAAAACTATTCTAGGCATTGCTATTCTGCCCAGAATCTTGGAAAGCAGGTTCAGTTATCTAAAAAACTATTCTAGGCATTGCTATTCCCATTTCTATTAAGCTTGAATATTCTAAATGGAATCAGGTAAGTTATAAATCATTTAAGTCAAGAGACTTGAAATTTAAACAAGTGTATTTACAGTAAGTTACAGTTATGCAAGAGGAAGTGAATAGCAGCTGCAGTGTTCACTGTCACATGCTCTACTTCCTTAGAGAAAATAAAAGAAGGAATAGCTAAATCAGAATGTTGGTGCAACTTTCTGTATTCTCATTCCTTTTTTTTTTTTTTTTTAATTTTTTTTAATTTTTTGTAGAGGTTTTTGCTTTAGGGTGTGTGTGCTCACAGAAGAGAAACAGAGACAATGAGACAGAAAGTGAGAAATCATCCTGTGGGGATGACCACACTGCAATCCCTTCTCTTTATTCTCCTCCTGGGTTCACAGGCATGCACACACATGCCTGGCATGATTTTTCAAGCCACAGGGTCCGAATTCTAACTGTAGTTGGCCATGTGGGAGTTCAGTGATGTAACCACTATGCCATCTGTTGACCCCTATATTCTCATTCTTTAACTGCATTTGGTTTTCTGAGTTATTGTTGGAAACCAAAATAAATGATCTGTATAGCTTTCTTAGCTAAGTCTTTTATCATCAAATTAGCTGCTGTCTATGTATAGACAGATAATCTTTTTTTTTCTTAAGAGATTTTTCCTATAGGGCACCTGTATTTGCCGGAGAGGCAGAGAGAGACAGGAAGTGAGAAACCACCCCCGGAGAGATGGCCATACCACAATCCCTTCTCCTCCATTCTCCTCTCAGGATCTTGGGCATGTGTGCACACATGTCCAGCCTGAGTTTTAAGCCACTAGGTCCAGGACTTGAACTACAGTCAACCACGTGGGCGTCCAGCAACATACCCATTACATCATCTGCTGGTCCCAGAACACAGACATTCTAATGCCTAGAATTTAACTGCCTCAATCTCTGATAAGCCTACTGAGGAAACAGAATAGCTGAACCAGGGGAAACTTATCTTGAGCCAGGAACCTGGAAATTATCCTGTAAAGTTCAGTCAGCAGTGGACTGCTTGTTGCATGCAAAGCTGGGAGCCCTAACATTCGTTTGTAGACTTCCCCCAAATACTTTCACATAGTAAAGAATATAAAGTATACTTTCAAAAAATTTTAAAGGCTCAATATACTGCCATACACAAAACAGGTCTGTATGAAAAACTATTAGGTTAAAAGAATGACAGTAGGGGCCAGCAGGTGGCATGAGGGTTAAGGCACTGGGTTCCACATGACCAACTGCACGGTTTGAGTCCTAGACCCAGTGGCTTGAAAATCATGCCAGGTGTTATGTACATGCCCAAGATTCAGAGAGGAGAATGGAGAAGGGACTGCAGGTGGCTGTGTCCCCTGGGGGGATAATTGTTTCTCTCTCTCTCTCTCTCTCTCTCGTAAGCTATAGCAAAAGGAAAAAAAAAAAAGGCTGACTTACACACAGTCAACAGCAGCAGGGAAGCTGGATTGTGCAGAAATGTTAGCAGATGCTTAGGTGAGATAGGGAAGAAAAGAACAAAGCACAGCTTAATTCTAAATTAACTAGACAACTGAAAGACCTCAAAGTAAAACTAAGTGGATGCAGGCCATCTAAAGCAAGGTTAGGGGTGGGACAGGGTTGAAAAGTTGCCTGAAGAATGGGTAATACAGAGCTAGTCAGTGTAAGTAAAAAGTTTTTAATTAATACTAAAAGAGAGCCAGTGTCTTTTTTTTTTTTTTTTTTTTTGGAGAGGTTTTTGCTATAGGTGTGTGTACTCACCTGAAAGACAGAGAGAGACAGAGAGACAGAAAGTGAGAAATCACCCCCCCAAGGGAATGGCCAGGCCGCAATCCCTTCTCCTCCATTCTCCTCTTAGGATCCTGGGCATGCACGTACATGCACCCGGCATGAGTTTAAGCCAACAGGTCTGAGACTCGAACTGCGGTCAACTATATGGGAATCCAGTGACGTAGCCAATATGCCATCTGCTGGTCCCGAGAGTCAGTGTCATTTGATGGTCATTCATATAGTAAACTCTCCAACAGGTTTGGAAGCCACCTGAGAGCAGGCACAGCAGTCTAATCATCTTTGTAACCTCTTACTATTTAGTAGAATGTGGGGTGCACATTGGTCTATTTCTCATACTTCAGTACATTCTTTAGCATGTACAAAATATGTTAAGTAGATGTTCAAAGAAAGGCTACACATTGGTCCATTTCTCATACTTCAGTACATTCTTCAGCATGTCCAAAATATGTTAAGTAGATGTTCAAAGAAAGGCTTTTGCAAGCACCAGCGCCCAACAGTTCACTAGTTGTAGGTAGTCAGGCTGCCCACTGACATAACACAGGGGGGTAAGTCTGAATACTGAAATAGAAAAAAGCCCTGCCTCTCTTTGAACAATTCTACCCCAGGGTGGTATATTAAAACACCATGTTTGAAGTCAAAGAATAATGACCACAGCCTCTCACATTGGTTTTAACCTTTAGGATTCACAAAGTGCAACTTCATAGCTATTATTCATTCAAAACGCACTTCCTGAGCACTCATATGCCAAGAACTGTGAATGCTAGACAAAGGTTAACAGAAGCAGGCTTGTCTTGTCAGCGCTCACAATCTAGCAGCTTCGGTGTGCAAGGATAGAACCAAACACGTGTAGCTGTGGAAATAAGAAAAAACACTTTATACTGTCTCAGGCTTTGGGAGAAGGAAAAACACCAAAAAAGATGGCATCACTGCACGGCCTTGAAGGATGCTGGCGCTGACTGATCAGGTCCTGGTGCAAACGTGCTACCGTCTTTTCCATGGAAAAAAGAAAGTCTCATAACGGCCCCAGTTGACTCCTATAAAAATTCGGAGTCAGGTACCCTTAACAACAATCAGTGCCACTTAATCAGCGAAACCGTGGCCCGGAAGACTGAAGGCAAACTCTAGGTTCACACTATACTCATCAATGGAAATACCGGGTTCAGAACTCATAACGACTCGGCACCGGTGCTAGCTCTGCCCAATTTCTTAAGATCAGAGCACCGAAAAGTGGCACGCGTCTGGACCCGGAAGTGGGGAAGAAGCCTAAGAAGAGATTGATCCCCGCCAACCATCCGCGAATCTCTCTTCAGCCACACCTTCTGGTTCGTTTCTCAGTCACTCACCCGCCGCTGGGCGAGAGGAAGTCGGTGTCGTCCTCGTCCCCCGCACCAAACATCGTCGGCATTCACCCGGCGGCGGGGAGGAAGTAGGATGCTCTCTAGGTCTGTCAAAGCCGACGTCGTAAAACGCCGCAGCAACGTGCTGCTTTCCAGCAGGGCGAACTCTCGCATGGGAGGAGACTAGGTTCTAGAGAAGGTGGGGCAAAGGCAAATGAGAGGTCCGAGCGGGCACGCGCGCCGCGTGACGTAAGGCCTCTCCACCCCTCGGAGGGGCGGGACTCCGAGTTCCTGAGTGCTGATTGGTCGTTGAGGCATGGGGGCGGGGTAGGGGCGGGCTCGCCTCGGTGGAGGCCGTGTACACGTCGAGCCGGGCACAAGTGGAGGGGGCTTCTGAGAAGTCGCGAGGGTCTGTGGAGTTAAGGCTGTGGAAGGGAGGCGTCGGTGCCGGAACTCGACCTGGGAAGGTGAGATCGCCCCCGCCCCACCTCGCAGCCCTAGCATGGGTGCTGTCCTTTATCCTCCGGGACAAGGACCCTCTTTACCCCTCCGCTTCTCAGCTCGGCGGAAGGAGAAAATTCCTGGGACTTGGAAGGTTGGCGATCTGGACCTCAACCGGGCCCCTGCGGTGACATAGCTGGAGTGACCTTGGGTCAGAGTGCTCGGTGCCTCAGTTTCCCCGTCTATACAACGGGCCATTTGTCCAGTGCTCCCATGCGCCGACTCGTCGGGAAGTGTTTCAGATCTCAGAGGTCATCGAGTCCAGTCCCGGTCGCTTTATAATCCTAGAATTTACAGATAGGGAAACGAAGGAACGAGGCACTCCGATGACTAGTCCGAGGTCACAGAGAGTAAAGGGCAGACTGGACTGGATTCCTTGTCCTTTGAGTCTTCGTTTAGTAAGCTGTTGGGTAAACCAGACCTTAGCAGGTATACATCTTAAAAAGTCTCCTTTCTAGGGTCCACCTGTATTCTACGTAAGGGGGATTTATGAGAGCTGGGATAGTCTGTGGGTGAATGATGGAAAGGAGGAAACTTTGGAAGTCAGAAAATCCCCGGCTCAGCCCTGGCCTGGATTTTGCCCAGTCTTCCTGCGACAGTCTTAAGTCAACATCAGTTGTCCTGTGCTCTGCCTCTAGTTTCCACCCTTGTCTGTGTCTTGCATAAGTATGTCTTTAGTTAACCTGTTGTTTTACTTGGAACAATCTTGGAGTAGGCCTGGCTTAACCGAGGTGGGGTCTCAGTGTAGTGTACGTTTCCATAGATCTCACTGGAGCTCTTTCGTGCAGTCTTCTCTTGTTCAGTTTGGTACTGCAGGTGTGTCCCTTACCTGAATGGTTTAATCTGAAAGCAAGAAGTAGAAATGAAGTGATTGGTAGCTCCCTTCTAGAGAACTTTGCACCTCTTGGCACTTCTCTTGTTCTGCTTTTTATTTTAGTTTCCTTGTTACTAAATTGTAAGCCTTCTTGCCCAAGATAGGTTCTCACTAATTTGTTATTAGATTGATTAATGAAATTCATCCTTGTTCCTTATTTCTTAATTACTCTCTTAGGATTTTTTTCTCCTGTGACCTAGAGAGCCCAGCAGTGGCTCTTGCCTTTTTATAGGTAGCTTCTAGAAAGTTAAAAATGCTGTACTAGCTGTGAACTATCTGGGTTGCTTAGTCTCTTTTGTTAATTGAAGGTGATTGTACTGTTGTCTAAAGCTCCAGGGGAGGGGAATGAGGGAAGTAGGATAGCTAGAAATATTATATGTGACTATATATTATATGTGACTATACTCTTTGTAGTAATTGTTCTTCTGTTTAACTGAAGACAGGACTTCTGGTCTGCTTCTTGTGTTTATTTTACAGCTTAAGATGCTCAAAACAGTGAAGGCTGACGATTCCCATAATGCAGCTGGAATCTAAGCACTAGAACTGATATAGAAGCTGTTTAGAATGGCACCTTGACTACCTCTAGGGAGAAAAATGACACAGATACTTAACCATAGCCCTGTCTACCTCCCTTCCTAGTACTGGTTACTGTCATTCCAGCAGTGAAAACATTTGAGCACTTATTTTGGTGTTCTTGGGTGGAAATGTTTTAAAGCAACCTTTTTAGACGTTCAAAAATGTTAAAAATGGCCTTTTGGGTGATTGAGAGACATCCAGGTTATTGTCAGAAGAGAGCTGCTGATTCTCATCAGCGGTGTGACAAAGTTGGAAAAATGGTGATGAGTCTTCCTCGGTCTTTTTTTAGGCTTGAAACTATAAGATGGGGTTCACCTAAAAAGTCACTGTCTTCCTGAATTAGAATATCTTCACACTGGTTATATTGTACTAATAAGGAATCAGGAAACCTGGGCTTCTGTCCTAGCCATTAATCTAACGTAATCTGAGTTTGAGCCACACTCCCTAAACACTTTGTAAAGGGAATAGAGTAGACCTCAAATCTACTGAGTACTGCTAGCACACACAGATAAGTAAGGCACATTCTTAATCTCAAATATGAATTAAGCTATTTTGTTTATTTGTTTTGCTTAAGTATACAGCTTTTAGATGTATTCATAAATGTATTTACCCCCTGAAGATTGTCCAGGAGGCATAATTTTAACAATTTCTTTTCTTTCTTTTTTTTTTTTTTTTTTTTTTTTTTTTTTTAGTTTTTTTTTTTTTTTTTAGTCTCCTCTTGGAAATGTGCACTGGCCAAGAGATAGAGAGAAAGCACCCTACCCAGTGGGGCATGGTTGCACCACAAATTACTTCTCCATGTCTCCACCCTATGAGGACTTTGGGTACCAGCACACATTGCAAGGGCCAAGCTTCAAAGTGTACAGTAATTGTGCTTTGGGTGCCATTGGCCATGTGAGACCTGGTTCCTTTAACCATCTGTCTACAGGGCTGATCCTATTTCCTTTCAAATTATCAGCAATTCTACATCAGATGATAATTTTTATACGTAAGTACACCCATACTAATTTGTGCTGGCAATTGCATGTTAAAATAGTTTATAACTAAAGAAGTTTAAGTTCTAAATTATAACTATAACCTATGATATGACAGGCATGGTGATAGGGATAAATTGCATTTAAGTTTGGGAGGATTGTTATAGTGTTCTGTTCACTCAGTCACTAAAAGCCTACTATATGTAAGGCATTGTACTGTATGTTATGTGGGATAGGAAGATGATCAAGTCATTGTTCCTGTGCTTAAAGTACTTATAGCTGAATAGTGGGAGGGGTAATTGAAGGGCAACAATAACCATAATAGAAGACATAGCAAAATAAGTCCCATAAGAAGTAAAAATTAATAATTGTAGGCTTTCAAAAAGGGCAAGATCGGATCTTGTTTGAAGGAGGTTGTAGAGTTAATGATGGACTTGAAATATGAGTAGAATTTCAAGGGGAATGGGAAGTAAATCCTTTCAGGTTGTGCGGGAGGCTTTGAAAACATCCAGAGAAAGAAGGCACAGATTTCAGAAATTTCCCCCCTATTTCATGAAATTAGGGCCATTATTTTGTAACTAAAAAAGTAAACTAAAGTAAGGGATCAGACAGGCATTAATTATACATATTATCTTAATCAACTTAAAACATAAACATCATTTGCTATTTTAATTTAAGGCCACAGCTTTTTCTTGGAATATGGATCTTAGGGATCAGCAAACAATAACCCGCAGACCAAGTCTTACCCTATTTTTTGTAAATAAAATTTTATTGCTCTCACTAGAATGAAATTGAATGAGTGAGTGAGTGAGTGAGGAAGGGAAAGTGAGTGATCTCCCCCTCTGGGGGAGTGGAGATGGCCATGCAGCAATCCCTTCTCTAGTCTCCTCTTGGAATTTTGGGCATGCACACAAATGGGCCCAGTATGTTTTTCAAGCTGCAGGGTCTAGGACTCACACATGCAGCCAGCCATTTGGGATCCAGTTGCCTTAACCACCACTCCACCTGGCTGGTCCAGTATGGCTACTTTTGCAAGACAGAGTTGAGTAGTTGCAAGAGAAGCCACCTGGCCCACAACATTCAAAATCCTAATTGGCCCTTTACAGAAAGAGTTTAGTCAATCCCTGGTGTACATCATATATGGTATCTTTAACATGGAATGAATAGTTACTTGAAAGCAGTCTGAGTGTAGAATCTTTCTTGGTGTTTCTGACTTTTCCCCCTGGCTTTTATAGCTGTCTTTCCCACACCTGATAACAAGATTCTGTGTACTTTGTGCCTCATCTTTGTCTAGTCTAGCCATAGCTTTCCACTTGATTTTCATAGAAACAACTACAGAGGCTATGTAGTATAGAAGCTAAATTCTTGGGACCAACACTTAGCGTAATGGCTATGTCACTGAACTCCCATGTAGTTGACCGCGGTTCAAGTCCTAGACCCGGTAGCTTAACCTCACGCTGTGTGTGTGCGTGCCCAAGATCCTGAGAGGAGAATGTAGAAGGGATTGCGGCATGGCCATCCCCCCTGGGGGGTGATTTCTCGCTTTCTGTCTCTTTGTCTGTCTCTGTCTTTCTGGCAAGCGCACATGCCCTATAGCAAAAACCTCTACAAAAAAAAAAAGAAAAATTCTCGGGCAGCCTGTGGTATAATGGTTAAGGCAACTGAACCTCACATGGTCAATGGCGTGGTTCGCATCCTAGGACCCAGCAGCTTGAGAAACATGCCTGGGGTGTGTGTGTGTGTGTGTGTGTGTGTGTGTGTCCGTGTGTGTGCATACGTGCACATGCACATGCATCATGTTCCCCAAATCCTGAAATGAAATGGAGGAAAAAGGATTTGTGACATACTGTTCCCCATGAGGGAGGCTTTCTAGCTTTCTCTCTCACTGTCACTCTCGCTCACTCTCTCCAGCAAGCACCTGCTGGAGAATTTTTTTAAATGAAGATATAAAATCATTGACTTCTAGAACACACACACACACACACACAAGAAGTTAAATTCTTAGGCTCTGGAGCCAGGTTGCATTGCCAACTGGTTGTATATGCCTTGGGCAAGTTGCTCAGTTTCTTCCTGTAAAATAGAGATAATGATAGTAACTCAATTTATGTTAACTGCTGCTATTTTTCTCTTTTCATTTATAATTCATTGGATTATATAATGAGATAGTTACGATAATAAGCACACCTGGCATAAATTGGTTTGTGAACAGACACAACTGACATCTTAGATAAGAACCCAGCGTGACCTAGGGGAGAGCAGAAGTGTTGTCCCCCTCCTGCTAGAGAATAACCTAGCCAGTGTGTTGTCAGAGTGGTTAAGAGAGTTCTGTGAGAGAGTTTGCTGAGTGTATAAATCAACAGTCCACATAGGGAAGTAATGGATTAAAATTGAAAAGGAATCTAGGGCCATATTTGTCAGTACCTTGAAGGCCAAAGTGACAAGTTTGTGCTTAGCACATAGGAAATGGAATTTTAAAATTCTGAATAACATAACTGATGTAAAAATAATCTAAATGACCTCGGGGAGTACCTGAAGTAAAAAG